TTTGCGTGCCATTTTCTCTACATTTAGTATATAATTATCTTAATTATGTACTATGTATTTATATACCATATAATTATTTTTATCAATATGGCAACAGTAAAATTGTAAATCACCGAGGTTTCATTCCTTGTTTTTTTGATTACTAGTGGCTCGGTATTTTCGGTTCATTGTGATCACGGGTAAGAAGAGGAAGGTTTGTTGGCCGTGATTTCAGTTCTGGAGCCAGACAGCCAGGTCAAAAGTGGCCACCACTGTCCACGAACTCAGACCTCTCTGCAAGCTTCAGCTTCTTCACTGGCTAAAAAATTAATTAATTTTAAGTGATTTAATTAGGATAGGGATCATACATACCCTAGTTTTCATAAAGAATAAGCGCGTCAACCTGTAACATGCTCACACTGTAAGCGACACATAAGGAGCCCAAAGGAACATTAGGAATTTATTCATCATTATTGTTTACATTCTTTTCTTGTCTGGACTTTGTCCAAATCTTTTGTTTTAAAGATTTTAGTTTATTTATTTTTAGAGAGAGGGGAAGAGAAGGAGAAAAGGAGAGAAACTTCGATTGGTTGCTTCTTGCAGGTCCCCACCCGGGGACTTGATGTGCAATCCAGGCATATGCCTTGACTGGGAATCAAACTGGCAACTCTCAGTTCACAGACCAGTGCTCGATCTATGGAACCACACCAGGCAGTGCTCAAATCTGTTTTTTTTTTTTTTAAAGATTTTTATTTATTTATTTTTAGAGAGGGGAAGAGAGGGAGAAAGAGAGAGAAACATCAGTGTGTGGTTGCCTCTCATGCGGCCCCCACTGGGGACCTGGCATGTGCCCTGGGAATCGAACCTGCAACCCTTTGGTTCACAGCCCGCATTCAATCCACTGAGCTATGCAAGCCAGGGCTCAAATCTTTAATTCATGTCTAAATGTGACTTTTTCAGAACCCCAAAATGAGAAACCGTATTTCAGTTTACTAACAAATACCTGTGTACACACGATGTGATTCCACATTAAGCACCTATTACACAAAACGGAATCCTAGGCTCTCAAGGGGGAAAAACAGTCATAAGTAATGCATCTCCCAAGTGTCAAGGAATCCACACCATGGTTATTTGCTGAGCCTTCTGGGGAAAATTATAGGCTTGGTCAATATAATTAAAAATTATTTTCAGAACAATGCCTCCATTGTAAAGCAGAAAGGAACTCTGGAGAGCATCTAGTCCTGCCAGAAGCAGCATTGGGGGCAGTCACCGGGTCACGGGGGTGGGGTGGATTCTGTGATCCAATATTAAGAGAAGTGTGGTCATAAAGAAAAACAGAATTCTGCACTCATAGGTCTCTTATTTCTTAGCCTTTCAGACAATAATACTACTGAGACTAAAGACAAGGACATGGTATTCAGCACTTGATTTGATCAAGAAAATAGTTTAGAGAGAGGAGAGTATTACCAGACCATAAAGGAACTTCATCTAGTCCCTGGGACCCCTCTCCTCTTTACCTCAAAAGGAAGCCACTGCCCAGGGTGGGTACAAATGGCTCTTTGAAGGGTCAGCAATGAGTGAAAGGCTGATGCTAACCAGACCCTGAAACGTCACCCTATCAGAATGTGTCCTTTCACAGTGCACTGTATCACCTCGACTTAATTCTCATTTTTCCCTGGGGGCAAATGAGAATTATTTGGTGGGGGTAGGGCTGTTGGGAGGGCTGCCCAAAGAACCCCAGGCAAGAACTGACACCCCTTTGGGGTCAACACCCATAAAATATTTCTTCCCTTTTTCCCACTCCCTCTTTCAATACAGATGAAATTTCATAACCAGAAAAAAAGGGGGGGGGGCGGAATACCCATATGGGTCAAATATAAAATCTAATGTATTTGTTAAATATTTACACTTTATTTTTAACCCCTCTCCCCAAAAAAATGGTATTATTGACCATGATCAATCTACCTTGTAAGACTGACTTTGCCCTGTTCCAAAAATCACATCCCACCATCAAGCCCTGGCCCCTTTCCTAATGGGTCCAATCTGACACAGAAGACAATCGCCAAAGTGGTCAGAAATGCCTGTGGGTAGCAAACAAGCACTTACTTTGAAGGCACTCACTTCAATTCCCACTCATTTTTTCAAATCCTATATTTTTAACAGCAATGTCTCCTACTTTCAGGGAATTCAAAAGTCCTTTGATGAAAAGGCAATCAAAACAACATTGTTAGGTTGTCTATAAGGTGCTTTTAAAATACTTCCGCATACCTAGTAAGACATGCGTTGGGTTTCATCCACACGCTGGGGGCTGGGAGGCTAAGAGCCCCAACCGGGAGCACATTCCTGGGACAGCCACACTCCAGAGGCAGCTACTACCTACATGTGCTTCAGGCACTTTCACTGCGAACCAGAGGTTCTGTTCAATGAGCAGGGGTATTATAACTGGATCTTCCCTAGGTGATTTTAACGACTTTGATTAGCTGTTGTGCTAATAACATGTGAGAAAACAGTGAAGGAAGAAGAGATCAGGCATTGCATCTGTGTGGATGGGTCAGGGACATTCTGGAGGCATATTCTGAACTTATATCAAAAGAACAAGTCTGTCAAGTCCAATAGCCTGGGAAGGTGTCCCAGGTACACACTTGGGCACAGCTGCTGATTCCAGAAAATTCATGTTTATCTGACTCCAACCCAATGGTCAGCTGACTCCTGCAACTAGAATGGTGACATGTGCACCTTCCGTGAACCCTGGGTGGGAGATACAGCCAGAGCTGCTGGGCACAGTCGGCCTGAGACTTACTTTACTTGCCCAGAGAACTGCTGCCCTTGCCAACCTGTTTCCCAAAAGACCCAAACTGGCTCGTACTGGTTCACAGGCAACAGCACTGAGGTGGCTAATGGATAAAAGCTGAGAAAGCACATGACCTATGTTTGTGACTTAAAGCATTTATTCACCTGTCGGAAAACAAAGGACGGACCATGTGATTTACGGAAATTTCCTTTTTTAAAGAGGCTTATTTAAAAGAAGTTTAACATACACATTCAAAAGAAACCACACACACACACACTATATTCATTACTTTTCAGAGTGTGAGCACTTATTTTTACTCCAGTAGCAACTGTATTTTCGACTGCATGAAGTACAGGAGTGTATTACGGGGAAGAGGCAGTTAAAACTGCCTCTTCAAGTTACACGGGAAGCAAGTTCTCAAATTTTCATAGCTATAATGTATCTATAGAATGTACTTTGACTCAAAAAATTTAAAGATAACCTTGCAAAATTTTTAGTACAAACAATAAGCATTAAGGAAGTACCCTTAATGAATGAATATTTCTTTAAATGTTACTTGTCCTACTATACTAATAAGTTATGTGCATTACAAAACAAAAAGATGGGAGAAAGGAAATGAACTTAACAGTTTAATCACTTGTGGCACAAAACTTCTTCCTCACCACATATTGTTAATGTTTGTAATAAAAGCAGCATATGAGACACGCTTCATTAGATATGCTTCATTATTTTTAAAAACTCTTTGTAGTTAACTTCAAGCCTGCTACTAAGCTCTATGCCCTGTAGCCTGATGTTTCAAGCAGACCGACAGCCGAGCACTCTTCTCTCTCTACTACCTAAACCTCGATCCTTAGTTTTCAATCTATCTCCCAAGCATACAAAGCTCTGTGGTAAATTCGGATGGGAAGTTTCAATTGCCTGTCCTTGCAAATTAGTCAGTAGGTGTTAATTTTTATAAATTAACAAACAGATTCAAAACTCTTCAATACTCTTCACTCAAAAGATGGCAATAGATCACTCTGTTCCCAAGTTTTTGACGGTTTTTTAAAAGAGTTTTGATAAATCACAAATGCACCGTATTTCTTGGCAACATGTTCACTTTGCTATGAAAACATTCTCAAACTGCCTTTCCACAGCATACACTTCTTTCAGAAAGCAGTCACTCTCCCTCATTGTGGTAACTTCACATTTTATTGGAGGGGTCCTTTCTCCAATGTATCTGTGACTACCGACAGGCACAGCAAAAACTAGAAAAAGGCAGCAAATTTGGGAACCTCTTTTTATTAGTAAAAAATGCTGATACCTGTAAACTCCACTCCACTACTCTTGGGTACTGCCCACAAGAGAAACAGGGGTGCTCTGGAGGGTATAACAAATGGCCATGTGTCCTCCCCAAGCATCACGAAGGACCGGACACTTTCTACCACCTGAAGCAGCAATTCTCATGTCGTGACCTACATCCCAAAGGGCGACTGTTGAATCCAGCTCGCCTGGCTGTATGGAGAGGGCTGAGAAAGAATCAGTATCCTCAGTGCACCTGCAACCCACGCAGGAACAAGTCTAAATATGACAGATGAGAGACACTCTGATGTAAAGCCTTTATAAAATTAAAGGAATTCGACGATGCCCTGTACTTTTCAAACTGTAATACTCCACAGTGTGCTTACCGGCCAGGTGAGGGCCCCAGCTGGGCAAGGAATTTCCATCTCTCTACGTCACGAAATCCCATTCACATTACAGGACACAGGACTAAGGAGGCACCACTGGCAATAGTCTTCATTTACTGATTCCTTCCATTCTTAAATGCTTGCAAAATTACAAATAGAAAGTCTTGTACTTTCTTCCAACATTCCAAAAGAGTTTCATTCACATCCTGCTTTGGATGCCCATGTACTTGATTCACAGTGACCTCAATCTTACTTTCACACACAGCTGGCATACACAGTGAGTGAACTCCGAGTAACAAGCTAAAGCTCGCAGGGCAGAATGGCTCTGGCGGGACTCAGGGCCACTCCCCTGGGAGTGGTTCTAACCTTGGCTGAACACTAAAGCTTTCAAGTACCAGTACCTGAGTCCCCCTAACAGAGACAGGATAGCATTGGTCTGGACCTTGGCTTGAATGGCAGAAATTTTAAAAACTCCTAATGCGTAGCCAACATTGAGAACCTGGACTTGCAATCCTGTGGTGAGGAGGAAGTCTGAAAATGCCCTTCCCTTCCAGGAGCCTCACCTTCTGGGGGCTTGGACATACGTCAGAGGAGTAAGCTCTCAGTTGAACATTACCGCCTTTAGTCTTCAAGGGCAAGGTGACAGGTAGGAAACAACTGTAGAAAAGATGGTGAGAGGCTATTTTGGGTGTGTAGGGCTGAGCTTTTTTACAACACTTCTGGACACCAATGTGTATCCAGCCATCCAGTTCAATTCTGTCACTGCCGACCCAGAGTTGGCACGGACCCCTGATTAAGGCGTCAGTCACACAAGGCTGCCCCCCTTCAGATGTCAACAGCGAGTGGGTGCTCATTGCCCTCTCGTGGCTAGAAAAATGTGCTGTAGCACAGCTAGGACTCCTGAAAACACTTTACTTACTAATCCCAGTTTACTGGAAAGGATAAAATTCAGGAACAACCAAACAGAAGGGCTATATGGGGCACCTTATGGGGAAAGGAGCACAGGCTTCCGTGCCCTCTTGTGGCGCACCACACTCTCAGCCTTTGAGGTGTCACAGACCCAGAAGCTCTGCAAGTATGACTACTCAAGAGTTTTTACAACCCAATGTCTAGACATCGCCTCCACTTTCCAGAGGTCGGTGTGCAGGGCTGAAAGGTCCAACCCTCTTATCTGATGTCCAACCCCATCCTGAGGCTACCTTGGGGCCTGCCCCAACCCCCAAGTTATCTCATTATGGTAAACTCAGATGCTCCTGGCCAGGGCCAGGCTGAGGGAAGGGCAGGGAGCTGGCAGATAACCTTCCAACCCTCACCATAAATAGAAAAAAAACCTTATCATTATCCACCCATAAAACTTTGTGAAAGTAGGAGAGTTAGCTATTTCTAAGACCTCAAAGTTTCCCCAAATTACCATCTTGAAGGCTTGCTTGCATAAAATTCATTGACCAATAACCAGATATCCACGGAGCTTTTCCTTCTTGCCCAAACTGAAATCTGTTACCAAAGCCTCTAGCAACGGGGCGGGGGGGGGGGGGGGGGGCTTGTCTGGAACTGTCTGGGCTCCTAGCAGGTAATTTACACTGATCTTTGAAAACCATTCACCCCTCCACTCCACTCTATAAAACAAACCTGCCTTTCAGAACAGCTCTGAAAGGGGGGCAGAATGCCCAGAGGAGGGGACCAGTCCCTGACCGAGTCTCTTGCCTATCACTCACCGAATTCAGGCCACAAATAGCTGTGGCCGTGTTCTCATCTCCAGACACCATCGCTTTCTCTCAACACCGTATAACCTCCCAATTCACTTGTACTATTCTGGAAATGAAGACTCTCCTCCCTATGGAAAGAAGTAACAATGCAAAAAGTGCTCAGGATGCCACGTGACTACAAAACTTACCCCACCAGGGCAGCCCATTAGGTTCGGCCAGGGTCTGCAGGCAACCTCATCCACCATGAAAGATGAGACGTGTGTGGCAGGCAAGTGTGCCTATATTTTGCTCTGCATCTAAGAGATAAAGTGCTACATGGGGAGGAAAAGTGCTCTGAGCGAGAGCTAACACCTCAAAAGCTAATGACCAAAAGCTGAAAGAATTGGAATCAGAAATTGGGTGCCAAAAAAACAGAGAGAAGAGAGGAAGGCAGGAAGATAGGAAGTGAGAGAGAGAAAGAAAGAGAGAGAGAGAGGAAGGAAGGAAGGAAGGAAGGAAGGAAGGAAGGAAGGAAGGAAGGAAGGAAGGAAGGAAGGAAGGAAGGAAGGAAGGAAGGAAGGAAGGAAGGAAGGAAGGAAGGAAGGAGAAAGGAAAGAGGAACCTGTGGAGAGAGCAGACTGTGTTTGAGTCACCTGATCGCCTGTTCCCGTAACAGACCAAGCTGTGCTGGTTTCCTAGCCTTGCGCGTGAAGGACAGGGAGGAAGCAGGAAGACTGGGAGAAGGCTAAGGACTTCTGAGGTCCCCCACCCCCACCTCTACCCCAACTAGCGTCTCTTTTCCGTCGGTTACAGTCGCCCAGAGTGAGTCACCTGTCAACCTGACGTCGGCTTGTTCATCAGTAAAAGGGGGGTAAAGTTTTTTCGCAGGGCTATGGTTAGGATTAAATGGAGTTAAAGCCGCTGGCGCCCAGGGGGCCGCAGTGAGTAACTGCTCGCTAGTAGCCTACCCACGCCCACAGCTAACTTCTCCGGTTTCTAAGCTCACACTCCCCTTGCGAACCAGGGTTAAAGGGGCCAGAAGAAGTGGCCTGAGGATGAAACTGGGCACCAGGGTGTTGGCCCCCGCCACCACTGATCGGACTAAGAGTAGGACCACAGGGGAGTGCCCTGCGCCATCCCCAGCCCCCAGCGCACATGCTTGCAGCGGGTTCCCACCGCGCGCCCTCTCTTCCTGCCCCAACTCCGCTTCCTCTACCCGGGCAGAGCCCACCCCATTCTCGGCGGAGGCACCCTGGCTGCGAGCCCACTACTCCTCCCATCCTTTCCATCCCTCCCACCCACCCCCAGCCCCTCCTGCGCCCGCCGGCGGCGGAACGGCAAGTCGGTAGGGAGTTGGTTACCTGCAGCGAGAGTCTGGCGCTGGGGGCGCAGGAGAATACAGCACAGCGTGGAGCTCCAGAGAAGCCACACGGCGTCGGCCCTCTCCGGGCACGGGCTCCGGGGCTCTGCCCGGAGATCCAAGAGTCCTGGTACCTCAACCCCAGCCTCCCGGACCCCACCAGCGCGCCACGCCCCCGGGGACGCCCCCAGGCCCGCCCACTCCGGCCGCACGGCCTACCTCGGTGCGAGAGCTGGGCCGGGGCTCCGGGCTCCCGGTTGGGTCAGCGCGCGCCTGGGGCCGTCGTGTCTTCCCGGAGGAGTGGCGTCTCTGCTTCCTCGGGTTCGCCTCGTTCGTTCTCCGAAGGGCTGAAGGACGGGGCGGGTGAGTGGGGTCTTTCTCAAAATTTTATGACCCCTTCCTCGGAGGCAGGAAACGCGAGTTCTGCCTTTTCGGATTTTGAAAATGAAAATGTTTTATAACACAGAAGAAAAAAATGATGCCAAGGTTCTTTATATCATATGAAGTTCAGAGATGACCATGTGTTTCCTGCCCCCGACCCCTGATGAATCTCACTGACTAAATGTAGCATTTGAAAGCTCATTACTTTCGTCCTGACCCCGGTGGCTCGGTTGGTTGGCCAGGGTCCCCGTGGGGTGAGTGCGTGACGCGACCAATCAGTTCTCTCTCACGTGTTTCTCTCCCACTTTCTCTCCCTTCCTTCCCTCTCTCTATAAATAAATAAATAAATATATATGTGCAAATAAAAAACATTACGTTATTCTATAAATATATATATGAATAAAAACGTTATGTTAATGCGTATTTTCACATAAGAACTAAGATTAAGTATGGAACAAGCCACAGTGTCATGCAAAGTAGTAAACACCTGTCTCCCGCCCTTACAGCACACAGTATCGGGACATTTATAAAAGCTGACAATCTCCTTTGTAGCAAGAGTAATGTTGTGTATTTGTCTTCTTCCGTTGGATTTGTTACCTCTGGTAAGGCAAAACAGGTTCTTATTCATCTCTGTATCATTTGTTAATGTAACCTACCTGTACTGAATGAAGGCACATACGCCGTGCCCGCCTGCCGTGTTCTGCTGGTCTGCAGGGCCGAGACCCTGTGAGCAGGTGCATTTTCCTGTAAATGGGAGCTTACTTGCTGACCATCATTCTGACAAAAGAAAGTCATTGCTCTAGGCATGCAGAGGCTGGGCTGGCCTGGAGGACATCACTGAGTCTCTGAGGCTCACCCTCCTGGACTTTGGACTTGATGAGGTTAAATGGTGTGGATGGGCAGGGGCCGGTGTTCTTAGGTCCCTGCAGAGCAGAGGTTGACAGCGCCACCTAAGCAGAGCTAATGATAAGTGGAGCTAATGAAATATAGCTGGGGGAAGATAACTCTTGCCTCTCTCCCAAGGAGATTCCTCCTCCAATGACAATCTTGGAACATCTTGCTTTAATGTTATTTAGGAAAGTAATCTTATAATATATTATGTGGAGGACCTAGGACTAAGGGAATACATGCATTCCTTTTAAACTGTGGTTTTTATTTTTTATCCTGGAAACAAAAGTGTGAACCCAAAATACCTTCTGTAAATATACACAGAATTCTCATTTCAGCCCGAACAACAAAAAATAAAAGTAATTGCAATTTGTTTTCTCCATCTATTGCTAATCCAGATGACTGTTTTTACAAAGGGACATAATGACATACTAAAATTCGTTAAGTAAAGACATTAGGAAGTCAAGTATGTTGCAAAAGCCCTCATAACGCATTACAGAATCACATTCACGAGTTTTATTAATTCACTGTTTGAAACTAAGCCTTTCACTTCTTTCCACTAGACTAACTATACTTCCTCCATTCTCACTTGACCGGTTTTTTTCTTACTGGTCTAACTTACACCAAGGATATTTTAAGTTTATTTTTAATTTTCAGTACTTAGTATGCTGGCAATACTCTTTTGCATTTCTGAAGGGGTGATCAGATTAGATTCACTTGCTTTCAGTTATCCAGTCATAGCATTAAACATTTGTATCTGAAAAAAGAAAAATACATATACATCCTGTGATCCAGCAATTCTACTCTTTGGTGTACACTCCAGAGCTGTCTGATGCAGTAGCCACTAGCCACCTGTGGCTACTGAGCCCAATGTGCCTAAACAGCATCGAAATGTGTGGGAACTATATAATACACAGAGTTTGAAGGGTTGGTACAAAAAATTAATACCTTATATACATTCTTTAAAAATTTGATTATAGTTGAAACAGTAATGTTTTATAATATAAATAATTTAATAATTTAAATATGACTAAAATTAAAAAAATAAAAAGGTGAATAAAATATGTTACTGTAACAGTAAGAAATTGTAACCCATCTCACCATTCTTTTGACATTGTTTCTCTAAGTGTGAACTCTAATATGTAGCTTGTGGATAAACAGCATGTTCGTATAAGAATCTTAGAAACTAACTTCAAAGGGTACATACCTCAACCTTCAGGCATCCCAGCTCCAGGAGCTATGCTGACTTTTGACCATGGAGCCAGGATGACGTGAAGCCAGGATGACTAAGCCAGGATGATGCACACTGACCACCACTTGCCTTATCGGAACGGACTGTGCTGGTCTGCACACAGAGAACTTTGCAAACCCCTCCCTTGATCTCTTTGTTTCGTTCCCCTCTCCCTCCTTATAGAAAAAAAAGTTTGCCTCCACTGAGAGGAGGAGATGGGCTTTGAGACATGAGTCCCCATCTTCCAGGAGATGGGCTTTGAGACATAAGTCAGCTATCTTCCAGATGTCTGGCACCTGCAAACAGTATCAGCACCTGCCTCTCCAGTCTTGGCTTTTGTAGAGGCAGGCAGCTGCACTTCGGTTACATTATTAGCACAGTAACGGAAACTTTGAATATAGGTTGCTATTAAAAAAAGAAATGCAAGCCAAAATGGAGTCACTTTTGCTAGGTCACCTCACCAAACCAAAGCTTTATAACTAATCTAATTGCAGTTCCACCCTCTCCCGAAAGTGGAGTTTTAAACCAATCCCTCTAATTTCCTGGTGAAATAATGAATTAAGCTGTCAGATAAAAGCCCCTACCATCCCATAAAGGAAAGTGTCCTTGCCTAAAATAATCTGCTCTCTTTTAGCTTCTTTCTGCCTATAAAAGCCTTCCACTGTGTACAACTCAGGGAGTTCCCCTTCTGGTTGCTGGATGGGATGCTGCCTGATCCATGAATCACTTTAGTAAAGCCAATGAAATCTCCAAATCTCTGTTGCATTTGCTCCATTGAATTCTGTTCTTTAACACTACCAAAACAATGGTAATTCTGTTCCCTAACACAATTAGTACAGTATCGTGTCTCAGATACATTATGAGCATTAATGGATTGAGCTGATCATCTCATTTTAATGTATAACATTGTTTTGACAGGAAAATTACTGCCAAGATCCAAACAATGGATTTATAAATTGGCTTATAGAATATATCTTTTTGTCATGGATACTGTGTGTATCCCATAAGTGTAATTTAATTGCTACCATAACATATATGCATCATAAATCTATACAAGTGGTTCAGAAGGTATTTCCGGGTTTTTAAGGGGTGTCGGGATCCAGGCAGAAAACAGAAGCCTCTCTTGTTACTTTTACAGAGACTTTAAGGAATTGCTTAAACAGGCAAAGGAGGGCTGGAAATGCACGAAGAACATTGCAACAGAGAGGTAGTAACTGCAGGAGGCACCTGGCACTGAGGAACACGGAGAGAGAAGTGTTCAGATTGTCAGCAACTAAGAGCAGGGAGAGGCTCAGGAGGGAGCTGGGACACGGACCTCCAAGGAAGGGGCTGCACCCAGCGGTGGTGGTTTTTCTGAAGGCAGATGTTGAAGGTTGCTGGATGAGAAGGTAGATTAAAACCTAGCAATTGGAAACAACTGCTGCAGCCAGAAAAAAGAACCCGTGCTGGGTGACACTGGCAGTTGCAGCTCACTATTATCAAGAATAAAGTCCCTTCTCCCTACTCTCTCCCTACTGCTTCCTGTCTCCTCAAGCAAGTGCTAACTAAGGACAAAACCTAATAGGAAACGTGGTTTGCTGAGTCACAGCCACAGCATCCCCAGGGTACAGGAGAATGGGCTTGAGCTTCAACATATGCCATAGTAACCAGCATAGGGAGTAAATGCATGATTTCAAACACCAAAGATCCAATATTACAGATGCAGGGAAGTACTGGTAAACATAGCTGTTATAGTGAGAATTGACATAGTGAGTCATGATACATTTTTTAAATATCATAAAACTGTGGTTAAAAGTACAACTCAGATAAGGGGACAATGTCGATCTTGACCGAAACCCTGTGCTCCCAGAAGATAGTTATGGCTGAGGAAACTCCTAGAGCCACACCATGTTGTGTTCCAGAAAACGGCAGACGGTGGAAAAGCCACCACCTCTGCTCAAGGGACTTAGGTGAGATTCACAAAGAGCTCCCTTGTTAGTCTGTGAGCGGCTAGATACTGACCCTCCAAATTATCTTCTTTGTCTCAAAATGATCAGCTGAGCTCGTGGCCCCTCCTGACCAATCTGTACAAAATGCCTGCTAACTTTAGTGGATCAAACTTTATGCTGACTTCCCTTATTCCCCAAACCTTTGAGCTTTCTTCCACCCTCAGGCCAAGCCAGCATTGGGATGCAGAATAAAGCCCCAAATGGCCCCTTCCCGGTTGACCTCAAAGAAAACCATTCCTAACCTAGTTGTCCGATCATGCTACCTGCTCATCCTAGTCCTAGAGACAGATTCTTTCTAGCCATCAGTCTCCAGCCTATAAAAGAACAGCACTTTTCTGTCTGATCTTTCAAAAACTTATGGATCTTTTTTAGATTGATGAATTTTTTTAAGAGAGAGAGAAACTGATTTGTTGCTCCACCCATTCTTGTAATCATTGGTTGCTCCTTGTTTGTGCCCTGACCAGGGATCGAACCTGCAACCTTGGCATATTGGGATGATGCTCTAACCAACTAAACTACCTGGCCAGGACTCAAAAGCTTGCAGGTCTCACAGTGGAAGCATTTTCCTTATTACACTCCCCTCCCCTTAGTCCAGTAAATCCCTTCCCTGATTGCAATAATCATTTGAACAAGTCTTCCCTTTACCTAAATCCAGATTTGGTTTATATTCGACAGTTCAGTGGTGCTGTGACTTGAATCAAGATCAGACCACACCTAGGGACCTCCACCATCCTCATTCAACAATGTGAGGATCCTTTGGTCGTGCTAATACTCGAGCTAATGCTCCAGACACCTTGTCTGTTGAAGTTACTTTAATTCTTTCCAGCAAAGTGAGAATATCTTTCCAACAAAGATTCTTTCTTTGGTCCTCCTGTAAGACCTCCTCGGTTTTCCCTTCGTTCCTCAACCCAGCAGTTAAGCCAGGGAATTAATTAAGTGGGACTCTTTCTCACCTCCTGTAAAGTTTATTGTTGGGGGTTAACCCTCTGTTAATCCCACAGGACAGACACTCTTACTCTGTCAGGCACCCTCTCTCCTTTCCTCCCACTG